AGATGGACAATGTCTTCTGTTACAATTAACCACATCTGTAAAGAATGAGTTCTTATTTGATGGTACACAACAACAACGGGTAAGTTCTAAGGGAACTCGGTGGCTTAGTGGTAAAGACTTGCATTGCCAACCCAAAGGCATGAGGTACGAATTCACCATCTGTTCCATGGGAAAAAGATGGACAATCTCTTCCTGTGTGATCTGGTTTATTGTTGCATGCTTTCAAGTTGGAACTGACCTGTAACTAACCCTACAAAGGTTGTTCAGAGACAGCAAATCACATGGGAAGAGATTACTCATCCTTCTTCCATGGACCAGTTGGTGTATTTGAACCACACGCCTTTGTATTACAGTGCAGCTTCTCACCATCTCTGAAAACTCAAAGGAGACTCAGCTACGATTCAGTTCTGACTTGGCAGAATATAAAATCAACAACAACATGAGGGATTTCTACTTTATTCTATGGTCTCTCTAAGTCAGAGTTAAAAACAGTGGTCAATAATTACATCAGATAATTTATCTCAAAGTCCTTAATGTAATCTGTAATGGAATTTTTGTCATATAAAATAAAACATGAAGGGGAGGGATCATTTTTTGACCAATACTAGAATTAGGAAAATTATAAAAGGAACATCTTTTTAGTAAGCAAGTGAAAATTGAGTAATGCATCAATTTCTTTAGATTCCAAAGCCCCCAGAGGATAATGGAGTGCAACTGATAACATTCTCAGTATTCTATAAAGCCAATCTACTTTATTATGAATTTGAAATTTATTTGTGCTATCTGCTCAGTATTTTTATAAAATAGAGACTAAAGTAGAATAAAATTATTTACAGCTATATTGACAGGACCATCATAGAAGACATTGTGATTGTTAACAATTTCAATTTGCTTGGGTCCACAATCAATCACCTTAATGCCAGCAGTTAAGAAACTAAACAATGAATTGTATTAGGAAAATTTGCTCTCAGAGACCTCTACAGAGTGCTGAAGAGCAACAAAATCAGCCTAGAGACTAAGGTGCACCTCATCTAGGCCATGATCTTTACAATTACTTGCTATGCATCAGAGAGCTAGATGATAACTAAAGAGGACAGAATAATTGATGCCTCTGAGTTATGGTGCTGGAGATGAGTATTGAACATACCAGAGACCACCAAGAGAACAAACAGGTCTGTCCTGGAAAGGGTGAAACCAAGCTGTTCCTTGGAGGCAAAGATTTTAGAGACATACACATACTTTCGGTATGTTGCCAGGAGGGACCAGTCCTTAGAGAAGCACATCCTACTTGGAAGAGTGGAGAGACACCACAGGAAAGAAAGACCTTGGATAAGATGGATTGACACAGTAATTGGAGTAATTGGTAGGAGTGTCAGAGACAGTGAGATTGGCTAAGGTCAGAGCAGGATTAAGAGTTATTGTAAAAAATAGAGTTATTGTGCCTAAGGTTGCCATGAGTTGTAGTTGACTTGCTGACACATAACAACAACAACATTTCTAGGCAATGGGAGAGTGGATATATGTATCCAGGTAAGTGATAAGGTAAAGAATAAAAGTAAATGGAAAAAAAAATATTGCACTGTTGTTATCTATACAAATTTCAAATATAATTGAGATTTTATTATACCAAAATTCAGTGAACATACATGGTAATATGATCGTATACACTATTTCTTTTGCTGTACTCAAATTAGGAATCTTTGTGGTTCAAACAGTTAAATATTTAACAGTTAGCTGAAACATTGGAAGTTTGAATCCAACCAGCTGCTGTATGGGGGAAAGATGGGCAATCTCATCCCATGCCATTTAGAACTTCAGAGAACCTGCCAAAGGTACACAACAACAAAAACAAAGGTAATATTAGATGATAAAGATATGTAAAAATAAGAGTTCATCAATTCTGCAATTTTCTATATATAATTAAGTTATGGAAACAATACAAAGTTGGTCATAACTGCCTTCTATATCTTCCCTCCTATCTTGCTAACCTTAAAATTTATGTCTTCTGCACAAAATATTCACGTTCTCTACAGCCAATTTGCAAAAGGTAAACACTCCTGACCTTTTCACCTGAGGAATATTCCACAAATAGCACAGTATGCTTAATAATGAGTTGCTTAGCGTGACTTCATAGAAAATAGTTACTGAGAGAAGTTCTGAAAATATCCAAATAAAGAAACTTTTAAAGAATGTTTGCAAATTGATATGCAATTTTAATATTTCAGAGAAACAGGGAAGAGTGAAAAAAGTCCAATTTTCTTCGAGGCCAGCAACTTGCAAAAATACTGCAGTCTACCTGAAGAAGTCTGCTCTGCTTTGTTTGAACCCATGACTGCTCAGTTCTGTGCAGTTTTGTTTCCAATTCTGTGAGGACTCTAAGTACAAATTATAGTCGGCATTTTTAGAAACATAATATCAATTCTTTATTTTAAATTAAAATCTTAAAAATTAAAAATAAAACCCCAGTCCCTTCAGCTTTCAACTTTCAACTAAAACGTACTATTTAACAAGTACAGTATCTACAGAAACTATACGGGTTATTTAAATACATTTTTAGCGTGCTATTGTGCGCCATCAAGTTGGAACTGACCAATAGCTGAACCTCCAGCAAGTTTTCAGAGGCAGTAAATTGCACTGGAAGAGACTGTCCATCTTTCTCACGTGGAGCAGCTAGTGAATTTGAACAACATGCCTTTGAAATTGGAGTGCAGCGTTTTACTACTAGGTCAGCAGAGTTTGGGTATATATAAAAATAGCTATGTTGCTCTGTACCTAGTGGCTTAATCCATAGAGAGTAGCATTGCTAACTCAAAAACCAGTAATGAAATCAAAATCTTCAGAAGAAGCAAATAAAGATTAAGTAAGTCTTATTGCGGGAAAATGTTATAGATTTAACAGTAAATGAAATTTCTGATGAAGGCAATGGAAATATATAATCTAGGCCATTTAGGAAAGCATAATCTTTAAAAACTTGCATTCTTTGGTATTGCACAATACAGAAACTCTTTGTAGGAGGAAGTCTCATAGAAATGTTAGTTGCTTGACAAACACTGACCTCTGGGGACAAGTTTATTTTTAGCTTCGTATAGGTCACTGAGTCTCACAGAGATTTCCATGAGTCTTCGAAATGAAATGTCCCAAAATTGTCAGATGTGAATTTGTCACCAGCACTTGGCCTGACACAGGCAGTCGTGCAGTACCTGCATATAGGCGCCAATTCTTGGTCTCAGTAGTTTAATGTCTTACACTTCTATTTAACTGACAATATTGAGACAGGGAACCACTTACCTAACTTCAAACTATAGGTCATTCTCGACTTAGAGTAAGGCTCTATTCTGATGGCTTCGTTATAAGTAGTTTCTGGAGTAATTTTAATGTTTCTTTAAAAAAATCATCATTACTGCATTTTACTCCGTTATTCATAGCTTTATAAATCCTATCTTTACTTTTTGGAAGAGAGAGACATACCAGCTATAAACATACAGATGTACTTTAACATTGTATGTTGTTGTTGTTGTTGTTATGTGCCATCGAGTCACTTGTGACTCATAGTGACCCTATGTACAACAGCCCTAAACCCTGCTCTATCCCTTGCGAATCTTACTGTCTCTCACACGCCTCTCCCCATTACTCCAGTCACTGAATCAATCCATCTCATCAAGAATCTTCCCCTCCTGCAGTGTCCCTCCACCCTCCCAAGCATGATGTCCTTCTTCAAGGAATGATCCTGCCTTGCAACATGTTAAAATTATGTTAGATGGAGCTTCAGAATCCTTGCCTCCTAGGAGCAGCCTGGCCCCACCCTCTCCAGGACAAACTTGTTTGTTTTCCTAGCAGCCCATGTTATATTCAATAATCTTCTCCAGCACCAAAGCACAAAGACATCAACTCTCCTTCTATAATTCATATTATATAGATGGTAATGTTGTTGTTTTGTAGCATAGAAACAGATGCTTCCACAGGTTTTCAGAGGCAGTTAATCAGATGAAAGGAGACTGCCCATCGTTCTTCCACAGAGCAGGTGGAGGATTTGAATGGCCTGCATTCGAGAATGAAGCACAGCTTCTATTCACTAGGCCACCAGAGCTCCAATAAGGTGCACTAAAACCAAATTTCAAAATAAGGGTTCATAAATGTGGTCCATTGTAACTCAAACACGTTGCAAGTCTGTGCTCTCTGAACAAGATCAAGTCATTAGTGGTTTTCCATAAATCTCTCTAGTGACCAATTCACAGGCAGTAGCACTACTAACCCAAAAGCCAGACCTTTCTGGCAATTTGAATCCACCAGAGGCTCCACAGCAGAAAGATTGATGATCTCTCCCCATACAATCTAGAGCTTTGAAAATCAGCTGGAGGGGGAAGCTATGAGTTTGACTGAAAGACAATGCAGGTAAAGAATGGAAGTTATCCTTTTTTGAAGTTAAGGACTCAACTAACTGAAAACTGACAGTCAACTAAGTGGAAAATCTCTGGAAAGACCACAGTATTGAAAAGCCCTTAGAGCAGTATGATTGGGTATATAAGCAATGGTCATGAGTCAGAATCAATTCTATAGCAACAGGCTTGTTTTGCTTTAAACAGTGGAAAAGTACAGGTTGTTTGCTTCGCTTGAGTCCTTATTAACCTTTTTAATAACCACACTGCAGAAGCCCATGATCATATGAACTCTTTTTAACCAGTGATTGACAGATAAGAGTTTGCTTATTAATATTAAAATCACTATTCACTGATGTTATGATCAACGGCTGATGAATAGTGGCGATGGTCAAAGTGACAATTAGAGATACTTTGAAGAATCAAAATTTATTTTTATATATGTGGAGACATCAGCAGCTTTAGCTAAACAACATACTAATGAGATGTTGTCCCATTTTTGTCCCAGAAAAGAAGAAGGAAGAGAGTCTGGAGAACTTCCAACCAACACTCACCAATGAAGGTATATAAAGTCTGCAGTCTTAAACCCCTTTGTGGCCACTACTCAGTACACACTCGGGCTCCATGACTGTTCAGAGCTATTCTGCCATTTGTGGTGTCACACCCTGCAGAACTCACTGTTATGTACCTGTGACTACTTCCATCGCTCTGTGTTCCAATGATGTAAATCCTGCCTTTGGACTCTGCTTACCCAGCAGCTACCAAGGAAATCTCTGGCTTCTGGATGATTGTCAAGAGTCCTATGGCAAAGCCCCCATCTGCGAGTCTCCAACCTGTGAGCTCAAGATCTGCACCACAAATTGTGAATCAGCGAACAACTGCTTGTCCTGCGATTCTCCATCCCCGGACAAAGGACGAAGTGCCTGTGAAACAACTTACATCAAATCCAGCCCCCGAGGCAGCTCATGCCCTCAGACGAAGGGGTATGTATCCAACTGCTACACACCAGCTCGATATGCATCTAAAATCTGCCAGAAACTTCCTAATAACTACAACTGCTTTCGGCAACTTAACTACTTATGCAAGAGCCACCGACCAATAAACTGCTGCAGGCTGGGTAGCTTTGGGTATAGAAGCTTCCAAAATCTTGGCTATGTCTCAAGTGGCTTCTCACCATCATGTTATATTACCAGCAGCTTCCAACCCCAAAACTATTTAACAAAAAATGTCCAGTATCTGAGTACCAGACCTACGAGCTGCCGACCACTGAGCTATTTACACAGGACCTACAGGTCTCTGAGCTGTGTACCCAGTACCTTCCCACCTCTGAGGTATTTGTGCAGCAGTGTAAGACCTTGGAATTGCTATTGATCAAATAAGCATTTGTAGCAGCTGGAAATTACCTGCTGAGGTGGCTTATATGAAATATCTTCAATAATTTTTTTTGCTGGATCACGTTATATGCCTTAAGAACTTTTAGAATAACTTCAAATGCAACTCTGATGCTTTGTCACTACAACATTTATGGCTTATTGGATTTGTTTGTTGTTCTTTTATTTTTTGTTGTTGTTGTTATTCACTTTGTGTAGAAGACTGATCCTGAAGATAGTATTACTGTTTCCAAAACTGATTAAGGTAGATGCAGTGAAGAATCCATGCCAAATGCAACAACCATCACCAGCTTCCTTACGTAGCAGTCACAGTCTCTTGTCAGAGAGTATATTCATTAACTATGTTTTCTTGATAAGTACCGCTTCCTGAGTTGGATTCCAGCACATTCTTTTATATGCTTTCCCCCTCTCTACAATAACTTGTGGATTGCTAAGCAAGGACTGTGCAAATGAATGAAGAAATAACAATTAAGCATACTGATTTAAATTATTGCATCCTTTCCATACTGACTGATTATAAGGACATGCAACCATGAACGGGTGACTAGCTCAAACAGAAAACTTCCAGCAAATCTCTTGTAAGGAAGCCATAAAACATACAGTTCAATGGTGTTCATCATTTGTTCTCAATTAAAGAAAACAACAAAAATAACACTGGTTTATTTTAAAGGATCTGGTGTGAAAAACAATGTATACAAACTCTGTTAATAAACCAGTATAAAAAATTATTTATTGAAAAAATTACTGGTGGCCTAGTGATAAGAAGCTGCTCTATAATCATGGAGGCATGCAGTTTGAATTCACCAGTTGCCCCATGGGAGAAGAATGATCAGTCTCCTCCCATGCAATTAATAGCCTCTGAAACTCCCCTACTCTGGGGTCAGCTGTGGGTCAGTTCTACCTTGACAGTACACAACAACAACAATGTGGTTAGAGATATTAAGTGTTGAAGACCTTTATAATGTTTCATGGATGCATAGTTTTCTTAAAAATATTCCTCTTAATAAACACTTTTTTTCCTGGAATTGATGTTTTTATGTATCATTTGATATTTTAAAAAATGTATCAATATCACAGCTAATATGCACAGTATTGTGCAAAAGCCTGTGTTTTGCCATTTAATTTATAGTCTATATTAAAAGTATCAACATGCTGGAATAGAAAGTTCTAGGAGTTTTATTTTTATCCCTCTGTTTTTAACACATTAAATATTATGTTCCTTTTGGATATCTGTAGTTGACATTGACCTAGAAAATTATGGAAATATTTCTAAAAATAAATTTAATAAAAATAGTCTAGCATATTGAATATAATACTCTCCAGTCCTTCCCAAGTTAGGTAATAATTTACAAAATCGTTGCTCCTGCGTGCTGCATAGTATTCCATTGTGTGAAGGTATTATAATTTCTCAATCGATTCAAGTAAACTCATTCAGTCCCACAAGGACAAATATTGCATAAAACCATGATTGTAGAATGAGCATAAGGATCCAAGGGGGGGAGGGTAGAAGCACAGGGATGAGGATGTGCAGGGGGAGGAGGGATTAATCATGGGTTGAGGGGTGAGAGAAATTGGAAGAATCTGTTATCAAAATTGATATATTCAACTTTTGTAAATAAACTAGTCTTTAAAAAGAAAATATTGAATATATAAATACTCTCCTGCAATGTCTATTGATGAATTTTGTAAATAAGTTTTGAAAACATTTTTCTAGTTAATTCTCCAAAACAATGACTTCAACTTTTAAAAGTTGTAATCCAATACAAACCATATTTGTATGGAAAAAATAAAAGGATAAAAATAATATCCTCCCCCCCCAAGTACTAAACAGGTCTGACGCTACTTAGCTTCCTAGATCAGATGAGATTGGGTTAAGTGAACTAACTCAGTCCCATTAGGACAAATATTGCAGAACGAGTATGAGGATCCAAGGGGGGGGGCGGGAACAGAGGGGTAAGGATGGGCGGGGCGAGGGAGAGTTAATCAATGTGTCACACAGTTTGATCGGTGGGGAGGGAGTGATGAGAAAGGAAAGGATCTGGTGTGAAAAACAATGTATACAAACTCTGTTAATAAACCAGTATAAAATTAAAAAAAAATCCTCTCTAACTCTTCATGTAACATAAGGCAAATTTAATTTTTAAAATGAAATGAAATAATCACCAGAAATAGATGAAAATAGGGATTGCCAAGGTGAAGCTAGATCAATAATAGTCAGTGTGAAATGAAAATTCATGATATTAGGAGTAATTTATTTATTTATCCCTTCGTCTCACTTTGCACAGAAAGTTATATAGAAGAAAAATCACTGTAGTACTTCTTCTTGACCACGTTAAGAGCGAAACATGCCATTCCAATGTGAACTCAGTGAATTATCAGGGAATTCTATTTGTTGAAGACTTTTGTTTGTTTGTTTGTTTTGCTTTTTAATGGAGAGCATCCCCAGATTATAAAGGATATCTGTCCCTAAATATGTATTTGAGCCAAAATTATAAGGAAGTTAGAACAAGTAATAGAGTTTTAATTTAGCCTTGCTTTAGTACAAGAAATGGCTCTGAAATCTTATAAATTATTTGAAAGCTGCATGTGTAACAATTGAAGATGAATGTGACGAAGAATATGTAGCAAGTTGGGATTGGTTCAATCATTTTATGTGGTGGCTAATTTACATTAACATTAAAGAGTAAGTATGATTAGCCTGTAACTTGAACGTTCATAACCTTAGTATTGAGAAACATATGAGTGTCTTTAAAAACTAACTACTAATCATATAGAACCAATTTAATGCCTTCCAAACAGGAAGAGTGCTCAAGAATTTGAAAATAATTACTAGGTGCTCCAACTGATTATTCAACCGTTCAAACTAAACATACAGACATTCACTGGACAAACTTTAATAAAAAAACTATTATTTAAAACATTGAGTGAAACTGTGTAGAGATATTAAGATTTATAGACCCTGCTCTCAGGAAATAGAGAACAGAAACATAGTATTGTTTTTCCATTACTTTAAGCATAATATAGGAGTTTGAGAGGAAGAACAAAATACTATATCTAAGAGAAAAAATGAGAAACTACCTGGTGAGAAAATGACACTTGAATCACTCCTGAATAATGAAATATCTAGAATATGACTGTTCAATGGTAAGAATAGAAATGGGGGAGATTAATAATTCTGAAAAGGTATCAGATGGTGTGTTAAGCTGAGTTCTCTAAATACGTAAAAATAAACTTTGAGTTTATGTGCATATGTGGATGTGCTTGTGTGTATTCATTTACATGTATATATAGGTAGACAAAGAGATACAGAGCTTTGGTGTCCTAATGAGAAGGAAGTTGTTCTGCCATCTCAAAGTCAGGTGTTTTGAATTCACCACCTGTTCCATGCGAAAAAGTTGAGCAACCTGAGTTGGTAAAAACTTGAAGGCAGTGAGAGAGAAGAAGAAGGAATCGGAGATATGTCTTTGAAGAAAAAAGGTTCAAGCGCTTGTAGAAGGTGGCAAGTCCTAGGTCTATGGGTCAGACCTTAGAAAAGAATTGTATGGAGAATCTAATGATGTCAGGTCATTGGCAAGCAAAGGAAGAGACTATAGATTTCAGAGACTGACAAATAAAAGGTAATTAGTCTTTAGTCATCAGGGTGTTAGGCTGAGGGGTCAAGTCCAAAGACCATAAAGGTAGATGCAAGATCAGACAAAAATCTTTTCAGCATTGCCAGCAAGTCTATTAATATACTCCATATAATCCACTTCTCACAGAATTCCCATTCAGCAGATCTCTTCCCACCCGCCTCTAATCCTGCCTCATTAACATAATAGACACAAAGATGTACAACACATAAGATAGATGCATATTAAATTGAGGATTATGGTCTCGTTGACACACCATATGAGTCACCATAATTAGTTTGACCTTAATAAATATAAAGTCAGCAGAGAAATTTTGGGGGAAGATATAGGGCATTTTATTAAAGGTCTTGCTACTCTTCTGAAATAAAATAAACACAAAAACCCAATAAATAAAAAAGGAAATATTTGAAAATTTACTTTAAAGAAAAGAAAATATTCTGGTTAATATGAAGCACCTGTGAAGAAATTAAAAGTGCACCAAAAATGAGAGGAATATGTGCACATGTGTAACAAGATTATTGTCCATCATTAAGACAACTTTTTGTTGCATGCTAACAAATTAGAACTGAATCACAACTTGATCATCCAGTAGGACTTCAGAGGATGTAAACTGCACAGGATATTACCCATCTTTTCCCTGAGGAGCTGCTGGTAGATTCCAACTACATGCCTTTGGGTTGGCAGTACAACTCTTTACAACTGGACTACCAGAGGTCCCTATGAAAACTACTAGACATTTAAATATCTGTATCTTTTTCTTTCCCTCTCTCTCTTCTCTCTTCCTTTCTTTCCTCCTTCTCTTCTCTTTCTTATCTCTCTTTGTCTCTCTCTCTGTCTCTCCCTCTCGCTCTCTTGATAGAGATATAGAGATAGAGCTATCTATCTATCTATCTATCTATCTATCTATCTACCTACCTACCTACCTACCTACCTACCTATCCATCTATCTAGTTGCTGTTGTGTGCCATCAAATCAGACCCACCTCATAGCTGACCCTCCAGTGGGTTTTCAGAGGCAATAAATCCCACAGGAAAATATTGCCTGTCCTTCTACCTTGAGCAGCTGATGGATTCCACCTGTGTGCCTTTGGGATTGCTAGGTCACTAATATTAATTATATATATATGAAAAAAGAGTTGTTGTTGTTGTTGGTGGTGGTGGTGGTGGTGGTAGTAGTGTGTGTGTACCATCAGGTTGGAACCAATCCATAGCTGACAATTCAGTGCATTTTCAGAGGCAGCTAATCACATGCGAGGAGGTGGCACATTCTTTTTCCCTAGAGCAATTGGTGGCCTTGAACCATATCTTCTCTATTGTCATGTAGCTTC